CAGTGACCTCGTTCAAAAACATGGTACTGATACCTGCCTCTCAGGTTATGTGTCGTGAACAAAAATGTGGTAACAAGTGTGAAAACACATTGTCAACTGTAAAGGGTACTATAGAAATGTAAGAATGATCACAGTGGCCACTAGTGACCTACTGAAATGTTGAGGACACTTTTTTAAAATCTGAAGGAGAATAAAATGAGAAAGAGCAGGCACAGGATTTCTCATTTGGGGTATGTTGAGTGTCGGTAGACTATTATTGGACATCTCTGATAGGTATGTAGTGCTTTGGTACTTGACGCCTTCTGGGGACTTTAGATGTTTTGACCTTAAAAAAAATTCCAGTTCTTGAACACCAGCTATGCACCAGGCAGTTAGACACTGAATGTAGCAGTTGAGGGGTTAGGCTGTAGTGGCAGGAACAGAAGAACAAGTAAACAGGAACCCTTTATCAGGGACAGTAAGTCCTTCACTTAAGGAACGTGGAGAGTGTTAGGTTAGACAACAGTGGGGGAGTTTGTACTTAGGACGGGGGTGGAGTAAGGCTGGAATTTAGGTAGAAAAGAGCTGAGTGTGACCAAAGCTGCCAGGTGACGGACAGGAAGGAGCCAGTCACAAGAAGGTCCAGGGGAGGGATGTTCCGGACAGAGAGAACAGTGGGTCCTGTCTGCTCATCACGGTGCTCCAGCATCTTGGAGTGGCCAGGAAGCAGCAAGTGGGTAACCGTCCTTAGCATCACTGTTGTTGTTGTTGTGTGTAGAGAAGAGAATGTGCATGATAAGGGCCTGGCACATGTGGGTGGTCACTAAACAGTGTTCTTATTCTTCCCTAAGTGAAGTAAAGCTTATGGTACTTCTTTGAAGAGCTGCATAGCTACATTTAAAATTTTTCTGCTGTTAATTTAAACATAAATGTTTTTCTTTCAACTTTGGTACTTTATTCAACTATTTTTCCTATCAATAAGAGTTTTATCAAATAATAGTTAGATTCTACTAAGCCTTTGTTTACTGAAATGTAGCAGTTTCCACAATGTTCTGTTAATACTCAACATGACAGACTCCAAGAGTTCTTTTCATGCCAAGTATGTTATTTTAATACTAAAAACAATATCTGTCCTAAGAAACATTTTAAACTTACAGCACATATACTTATTAAAGAATATATTTAAATGTGTATATTTTTAACTTTACTTTTTATTGAAGTGTAGTCAGCTTTTATAATGTTAGTTTCCAATGTACTGCAAAGCAGTTCAGTTATACATATAAAAATAAGTATTTTTAAAAAATGGCCTCTTTTGTCGAGGAATGCAAACTGGAATTAGGCGTTCTGAACTTAATTCTTTGTTGAAATCTGCATGTAAGTCAGTATTTTGTCTGTGAAAATATTTGCTCTGGCTTTCCATGCTCAGTTTACAGAGTCAAAAGCCAACTGAAGGTAAAAGATAGACTTGATCTAAAGAGTGTATATGAAATTTTCTATTTAAATGTTTGGGTTTCCAGGATATGCTTATTTTGTTTTTAAGTCTTAACTGCTTTTAAAATAGGGAATTAGAAAAGTAATAATAAGGTAGGAAACACAGGTATTTTCTTAGAAAGTGATCAGGAAATCTTTATGCAACTCATTATTAATTTTAATTTTAACAGAGTACCTCCAAGATTCAACTATCGAACTATGTTGGTCATTTATCTGGAGCTGCAGGTCTAGGAGAAAAAAATTCATTAAGTGGACAAATAGAAAGTAAGCACTGTATTTTATAAAAAAGTCATTTGACAAAATGTTGATTTAAAACATGGATTTGGATCTATTCTCTCAGCCAAAGAAAATCACCTGTTGAACGTATAGTGAGAAAAAAGAGGAGAAAAGGAAGTAAATTGTATATCTTATCAGGTGTCAGCAACAGATTAAACTAGAATGCTGTTTAAGGAGCTCAGTTGTTAGCTTTCTTTCAAGATGCTCTGTGACCTGAGGACCGTCAGGAAATCAGGAGGAGGGAAGGAGGGAGCGAAGAATAAGAAAGGTAGAGAGGAGGGGAGTAAATGACGGAAAAGGGGTGGGGGTCCCTGGCAGGAGGTGGTAATGAATGTAGAATAGTTCTTCAGAAGAAGGAAGAGGAGTGTTTGAAATGAGATGGGTATGAAGTGAGCTGCTTCCAGCACCAAAGCTTGTCCGGGAAGCACAGCAGAATGTTCCACTCCCCTGTCCCCTGACCGTTAGGAAGGCAGTGAGGACTGCGGTACCTGATCATGCAGAGCTGGGTGTGCCTGCCGTGGGTGAGCACAGGCATGTGTGGTCAGCTGTCAATGTCTGGACCTTCGTGTCATGCAGCGTGTTGCTGCCTTATAGGATGGTGTCTCATAGGCCAACAGAAGAGAGTGGGAAAGAGGAAGAGAGCATTGTGCATTCCGGGGAGGTCAGGGGAGCTGGAGCCTGGTAAAGAGTCTGCAACTTCTGATGCAGCTTTTGGGGAAGTATTACAGTGAGACACGTGTGGCTGGATTTCAGAAGGATCAGTTAAATCCAAGTGCTGTAGAAGCAGACTCAGTATAGACCAGAGTTTCTCAAGTTTTAATCAGTCACCTGGGGACCCAGTGAAAAGTGCACATTCTGAGCAGTGGGTCTGCGTTTCTAACAAGCTCTCAGGTGATGCCCTTGTTGCTGGTCTTCAGATCACGCTCAGAGGGTAGACTTGTGTTGAGAGGAATCTGGAAGAAGAGCTACTGGGGAGTTAAAGACACAACAGCATCAAGGAAAAGCATGATTTTGTTTTTCTTTCTGAGCACGTTCATAGCCAGAGGGAGGCAAAGAGTTGAAGTAGAAATTAGAGATGTAAGATACTGCTGCTAAGCAGAGAGGAAAAAGAAGTGGTGGGCATCATCCGTCCAAAGAATAGAAAAGAGGAAGAATTAAGACCATAGATCTAGAGGTACCTTTGAAGAGGAAAGTGAAAGGAAGGAGGAAAAAAAGACCGCTGGTAGGTGATTTTGGAATTGAGGAAACTTGAGAGAACTCTTTTCCGGTGGCGTCAGTATATTTGCACTGAAGCAAGGTTAGATCACTGCCACTCCAGAGAATCCTGGAATCAGGAGGGGGCCTAGAATTGGGGTAAACCACAGCCACTCCTCCTATCAGGCTTCAAAGATACATGTTGTATTGGTATTTGTTATTCAAGTGAGATTAACTTGAATATGAAGCATTGGCTGAGCTTTTTTTTTTTTTAAGGATACCTAATTTTTTGATAAGATAGTTGTTTAACAAAAATCCTTTTAAACACTAGCCTGATTTACCAAACCAAACTAATTTTGGAAACAAAAGAAGTTAATAGGGTTTATTCCATAAATGCTAAAGTTGTTATTTTCAGTGAATACTACACAGGTTTTGAAATATAAACGACTTTTAATATCTAATAATTCTGTGGCAACTAAATTTTTTTTTGATCACCAGATTTCAATATTGAAAACTCAGTATACATTCTTTCTTGCATGAGTGGATCAAGAAACTTTGATGGCTAGAGGATCCAAGAAATGTAGGCATACCATCAACCCATGTGGGTATGGGAAAAAATGAATATTTTTATGAACTATTATTCTACAAGTGTGTATCCAAGCTGATCAATTCATAACACTTTCTCTGATGAGAAGTGAATTGCACACTCAAGTGAACTGCCATCACAACTGTGGACTTCCTAAATTACAGGACAAATTGAAGAGCATGATAAATACTTGTAGTCTAATGGTGTCAGTCGCATGAAAGATGTGCTGTTGCATTTTACCATCAGCTTTTACATTTGTCTTCTTGGAGCCGTGATTTGTTCCTCTGATTAAAGATCACTTTTCTTCTCCTCAGGCAGCATGTTCACATTTGTATATGTGCATGTTTCCATTTTATAAAGTCATTTGAAACATAATCGTACTTTTGAAATCTTAACTGTGTGTTTTGTTAAGCCTATATTCCTGTTCTTTATTTAGTTCCTATAATGGATTCATATTTGTGTCTTGTTGCTGTCCTAACTGCCCCTGAAAAACAAAACACTGAAACCTAACGTGTTCATTTACAAAGTAAGCATGAGGATTGCGCTCAGTGCTAACTCTGCATGAATGGATAGTTGGCTTTCATATTTACATATAATTGATTATGTGTCCCTTTTGGCTTTTAGATTCGACTGAAAAATATCCTCACTTGAAGGTAAAAACTTTTATACTTTTATCTTGAATTTTTTTTGTTGTTAAATGAGGGTACTGGGAATTTAGCCTAGGACCTCATCCACTGCTAAGCAGGCACTCTACCACTGAGCTAGACCCTCCCCTCTTGAATTATTGCTACAGATTGTATCAAATGTACAGTATTAATCGGTTTGTTTCAAAAACCATTCAGCCTGCAGTTGGAGTGAAAGATTCTGTTCCTAATAAAACAGGAGAAATGAAGAATTTACAAACATTGGAATCAGGTAAATTTTGCAATACAAATTTAACTCTGAAATGAAGTACAGTCTTCTTATTCCTAATTTCTTTTATTTTTTCAAATTTAATTGAAAGATGACATAAGTAAGGCAGATGTAATTATCGGTATCCATGTTTGAAAAATATATATAAGCATAAGAAATTGATTTTTAAAATGTCAGCTTTGACTCTGATGTTTCTATTGATGTTGGGAGACA